TCCGTGTGCTGCTGCCTCCCGTGTCGGGCACCCCTCGCCCCGTCCCGCGCAGGGTCCGTGAGTTCTCCCTGCCGGGAGGGGCCGTGCCGGTGCCGCCGCTGCTCCCGCCCGGAGCCGGCCGTGCCCGGAGCCGCGGGAGCGCCGGGAGCCGCCGGCCGGCTGCTGCTCGTGCCAGGGAGCAGATGAGCTGTGACGGCGCTCCCGCTCCCGCGGCTCCCGGGCAGCGTGTGCTGGCTGTGTCATGGAGCGCGGCGGCTGCCCCGGAGCTGCCCCGGAGCTGCCCCGGCTGCGGCGGCTCCGCTCGCATCCCGCTCTTCCCAAGGCTTGGGCTCCCTGCTCGGCCCTGCGTGCCCTGGAGCGTGAGATTGGATTACTCCACTTGGCAGGCACACGGCTTTGGGCTGCTCCTGCCGAGGAAACGTCCGGGAGCCGGGAGAGGCCGGGCAGTTCCCAGGGGCTTTGCCTGCCCTGGCGATCCTCGGTGTCTGCTCGGATCTGAATTCCTTAAATCCCGCTCTCCCTCCGGCCCTGGAGTGGGGTCAGCTCCTCCTCCCTCCGCGGCTCCGGGGATGTGTGGGATCGGGATCATGGGTGGGAGCCTTTAGGACTGGGGGGACTGGCTTGTGCTGGAAGCAGGCAGGGGGAGGTTCCTGTCCTGCCACTGGGAATATCCAGCAGCTCCACTGTGGGCTGGAGAACTGGGAATGTTAAACTCGTGTGTCCTGAACCCCACTGGGATCCTCCTGCCCCCCTCTCTGCCTGGAACCAGCCAGGGAGAGCTCAGAGCCCTGGCAGGGCCTGGAGGGGCTCCAGGAGAGCTGCAGAGGGACTGGGGACAAGGATGGAGGGGCAGGACACAGGGAATGGCTCCCACTGCCAGAGGGCAGCCAGGGATAGGAGATTGGGAATGAGGAATTCCTGGCTGGGCTGGGATTGCCAGAGCAGCTGGGGCTGCCCCTGGATCCCTGGCAGTGCCCAAGGCCAGGCTGGACACTGGGGCTGGAGCAGCCTGGGACAGTGGGAGGTGTCCCTGCCGTGGCAGGGGTGGCACTGGAGGGGCCGGTGTCAGGGTGGCACCTGGCCCTTGCTGGGCCCAGGTAGCTGCTGTCCCCACGCTGAGCTCTGTCTCTGTCCCCAGGTGATGCAGGTGCTCAACGCCGACGCCATCGTGGTGAAGCTCAACTCCGGGGACCACAAAACCATTCACCTGTCCAGCATCCGGCCACCGCGGCTCGAGGGGGACAGCGCCCAGGTGACACTGCGGGGACGGGGCACAGGGAGGGGACAGCACCCAGGTGACACTGCGGGGACAGGGAGGGGACGGGAAGACGATGGGAAGGGGCCGGTCAGGGAGCCAGGATCAGCTCTGTGTTGAGACCCCGCCCGTGGGGCTCCTGCTCCCTCTGGGATGACCATGCCCCCTCTCCCTTCCTGTGGGAGCCGATTCCATGGGATGCAGGCGGCCTGGGAAGGGCTGGAAATGCGCTGGCGGCTGCAGGGAGACGGATCCGTCCCTCGTCTCGTGCCTCAGTTTCCCCTCTGCTCCACGGGCGCTCCCAGCCGGGGCTGTGGGATGTTCCTGAGGGATGTCTGTGCCTGTGGCCCCACGCCCTCCGTGGGGCGGGCACGGAGGCTGCGCCGCTGCTGGAGGTGGTTCCGAGGGGGGAATCCTCGGTTTCCCTTCCGCCGGGCTCCGGGAGGAGCAGCCGCCGTGTCCTCGGCTCCGAGGGACGCCGGGGCCGGCTCGGGGCCGGGGCGCCGGGACCCGACGGGGTCTGGGAGGCCGGGAAGGGCTGGAAGAGGCCGCGCTGCTCCCGCAGTTTGCTCCTGCTCTCGGCCTTTGAGGCTCCCTCAGGCCGGGGCCGGAGCCGAGCGCGCGGCAGGGACGCAAAAGCGCCGGGACCAGCTGGGATCGGCACGGGAGCGCCCTTGACCCCGCCAGGCTCCGGGGCTGGACCGGGAAACGGGATGGGGGATC